TAAGAGCTCTGAAGTATTTAATGAATTTACCGGCAGTGTATAATAGCCAACCAGATCTATTCGTCAATAATGCCTTATTTACGAGTCACAATGTACTCAGTTTTAATATTTGTTTGTTATGTGCCAAGACGATGAGTATAGTGTTCATTTCTAGATGTTTATAGTTTAACAACAAACACGGAATGTTGTTAAATCAGGCTTACTGTGATAAGATCCCTAGAGCAACCCTCGGTGTGGATTGTTCTCTGCACATATTGACTTTATACCAGCAATATGATTAATGTAATGGTATGTCAACTGATTTTTGTATAAGATATGACTGTGTGTTTATTGTTAGCATAATATGAAATAACCCTACAAGCCTACATTCATATATATAATTAATATATTCATCTGGCTGTGTCACTACATTTCACAGCGTAATATATTTTTCGATAATGCCCACAATAATTCAGAAATGTCAACAAATAGATATTGTCTCCCCATCAGCATATTGTTCGGTTGTTCTGTGACATGGGCAGCCTTGAAGGTGGCATTAAAACAATACTGTTTACATGGAGGCAACTTAGCCGGCAAGGCGAGTTACTTGCCCAGGCGGGACAAACAAGCGCTCTGTTTATATGGAACCGTGTTACTCAGCATTTGTCGCATGATTGCCGCATGAAGCCGAAATGGTGCCAAAACAGAAAAAGGATTTAAGTCGTTTGAAGTGCTAAAAACATTACAAAATATAGTGAAAGTACAAGAATAAGTGCCGAGCAATTCAGGAAAACTTATCTATCGATTCATATGTATTTTTGAGCTATTATATTTCACCGAATGGCAAAGCACGTACATTCTATCTCGGGCGGCCGAGTTACCCGGGCAAAGTGTTTACATGGAAAATATTCATCTGGCCTAGGCGTGATCCCGCCTATTTTTGCCAGGATCTCGCCAACGCGAGTTACTCGGCTGCATCATGTAAACAGTTACCCGGGATTACTATTAGTTTCTATAACAGTCGGGATCTCACCGTTGCCGAGTATATAAACATTGTACAGTATTCAGTGGCAAGGTAGCCATGGCAACTGGCCATATGCATGCTATACTGATAAACCTGCATCTATTTGAATAATGCAAATCAATAAAAATTTGCATAGCATGACCTGTTGCTATGGCTAGCTTCACCACTGACACTATTATAATTATACAACAGCAAGACGTTATAAGCATTGAAGATATTCATATAAAAGCGCCCATGCCAAGAAAGCAGAATTAGAACATTTAGAACTTTCAGCCGCCCTTCGACTTTGTGCAAGATGTTTGATATTCAAATTGGACTTTTCCTACCTCCTGAACAGGCGTCTTAAGGGCTGTTTGCATGATGCAAAAAGGGATGATTTTGATGTATTAAAATATTAGTCACTAGGCTAAACGAAAATTCAAACGCTCAAATGTAGAGAAGTAGTTCAAATGTAGAGAAGATCTTGTGGTTCAAGAAGGTTATATTATGCTTGAACAGGCAACCTTTCGTTTACAGTTAAATATACCTTAATCCATCTCTAGAAAATAGTGAAACTTTTTGCTGAATCATGCATTGTGACTTATTTAAGCACATCAAAATCATCCTGCCTCATATCTGCTGGCAAAGCGGGATCATATAAACAGCCCCTTATTCAGCAAATTGTGCATGCTGCCTTTAATCCCTTGGGGTGAGGCAGCATTTTCCTTGCGATAGTAACTTCTAGTATAATCTATATAATATGCTTTTATAATGAATAAATATGAAATAGTATATAGAAAATGTAATAGTTTTCGCAACTATATTTGCTACATCTATGATCGCCGGAGCACTCAAATCACGCTCGTAGAAAATATATACATAATATACATACCAGATATTTAGCATTTTTTTTAGCACATTGGCTTTTTCCTGAAATTAAACGTTAATTGTCTTAATTATAAGCTGGAAATTACGTGATCTAATTACGCTAGTCGGTGGCTACGAAGTTCGCTAGGTGACGCGTGTAAACCTGTAGTATTTCAGTCATTTCACGATCAAAGTATTGTGTTTTTGACGGGGGAGTGTTCTGTGAAGTGAGCATATTTTTCTTAGCATTAGAGTGCGCAACGAATACTTTGTGACTCGCACAGTCGCAAGAGCTAGTGATAGTGGACATGGTAACACAATATTTATGATCCTACCGCAAATAATGCAGCGTGAATGGTAAATACATTTTCGAAAATAACACAACATAAATATATCATGTAACATCTACATTTGGTAACATGTGTTTTAGTTGACTATTATAGCACAAACGGTAAGCTTGGAAAATCATGATTTTTGACAAAACAAACGCGCTATTACGCAGACACGATCAGTATACCAGCCCAATTTAAATCTCATTGCAATTTAATGCGATGTTTATTATAAACAAACTACCAGGCGAACTTCAAGAATCAATCGATATATTTTCGAATAAACAAAACTTCAATGGTATACTTGTATGACACGGATTCAGATTTTTTAAAAGTGCACTATTTTATAGCATAAATTTTGCGGTTTGCAGAGCATGTGAACTCAGTCATGAAAGTCTGCCAACACTACAGGTGTCATGAGGAATACCGTGTTTCCTGCCGGCCATATATAGTGCGAGATGAGGCGTAATTTTGTAATGGGAATAACTTTTTGTTTGTAGTATTAGTGAAGTAGAATGACCCATGATAACGTCCAAGTTCACGGTCGACCAAGCTAGGTCACGGCTGTGGCCATGCACGGGCAAATATTTTATAATTCAGTGCTAAAATCTGATCCGAGTGGTCATAACTTTTTCGTTATTTAATGTATCCAAATTCTCTATGCTTAAAACAGTAATTCCCAGGGTTTATTTTAACGTGCAGTTCTACACAGAATGTGCAGTTCTAAACCCATTTGTGCAGTTCTTAAAACACAAAAGAGCAGTCACCGGCCAAACTAACAAAAATAGTAATTAAAACAGTCTTCTCATTTACTTGTTACCCTTGTGGATGCTCCAGAAAATTCCAGAAATGCTGTCATTAATTGAGCATCAAAAATATAAACGTTTTCTGGGGGAGGACTCCAGACCTCCTATTTTCCTCACAAATCACTTACGTGCTGGGGTAATGGAAAAGAACGTAAAATTGGGGCTAGCGAAGCTACCCAAAAGAGGTTAAAGTGGGAGAACCTAATATTCTTTGCTGCCTCAAATGCAAATTTAAGATTGTTATATATTGAATATCCTCATGGATATCCCAGTTACATGTTTTGAAACAGTTTTTGTGAGTGGTTGGGTGAAACAAATCTTTGCCAGAACTTAAGAGCCCGGCTCTAAATTCAAATTGTTTTAGGGAACACCCCCTAGCTCCCGCACCCAAAATCGAGTTTGTCTGGCCTTTCTCCAATTCTCCCACCAAACCACACCATTATTCTGTCACCTATATGCAGGTAAAAAATCCTTCGACCCCCCCCCCCCCAGTCAAACACCCGTTGCCTTCGTAACATCCCTATATGTGCATCCCTATATGTTCTAAATTTTTCTTAAAATAAACCCTGGTAATCCCGTCAAATACAGATGTGCAATATTTTCTTGAATATAGCCTAGTCGCAAATTTGGCAATCGGCCCATGCAGAGCCACCTTATATTTGTGTGTAGTAAATAGCTTTTTTTAGATTATATTTGTGTGTAGTAAATAGCTTTTTTTGGCATTTCATAGCTATGGCAGGATCAATTAAAGAAAATCTCTCCGCCACCCATGCACAACCCGAATTTTCTACCAAATTAAACCGAAATGCTTCGTCATGAAAGAAATTTATGTGCAAAATTGATTAAATATAAATATTTGTCTTTACATATCGGGTCTTTGATGTCTGTAAGTGACGTCTCATTCTCGTACCCAGACTCCCAGAGCCCTTCTTACGCGCGGTGCGACGAGGGGCTCTGGCCAAAACCGGATACCATAAAAACATGGTCAATGAATATATCCGGTATTAGAACAATAACCTTCGTTGTAGCCAATCAGATGCCAGTTTGATATGGATTTGGCCAGAGCCCCTCGTCGCGCTCCGTTGACCGCTGGTAAGAAGGCTCTGGGTACGAGAATGGTCACATCTCGCGGATTCGGCTTGACCGAAATTCATACAGATATATATGATCGTAGTTTCCCCGGAATGGATGGTTTCCCAGTTCATTTTGTGTTGATCGAGAACACGTCCATCTGTAATAGTTCCTAGAAATAGATAGCTTACAAAATTAGCTAACATTTGATGCTATCAAATTCATAATACTGTATAGCTCAGTTTCATATATATTAATATTATTCAATAACAACTAGACATGACATGTGAATTTATTATAATAAATATGCAAAATTGTGAATTTGGGCAAAATTCATAAATGGGTACAGCAACGATACGAACAAGCAATTTAGTCTGCCCTACGAAAATGTCACAATTAATGGCTTTTCACATGTTTTCCACATGCTTGTCAAGTGTTCAAATTCCACATACGAAATAATAATTTCACATGTAAAATTAATTTTAAAAACCTTAAAATTTTACATATGAAAAAAAATGTGTAAAACTTAAATTTCTGGAATTCTACATTTCACACAAGTGTGTATATATTTTCACATGCGAAGCTCCAATTCCACATCAAAAATAAATTATATATGAATTTCTCGAAAGGGTTGAGCGATTCATTGTTCATTTTTTGACATTTTTATCAAGTTTTAGTTTTACAGATATTGAAATGAAGAATTTGTACCTGCTGGCTCTGACTGTGTGAAATTTTGAAGATTTGTGACGATCTTTCTGTTTTGTCTTTGCTCAGTAAGTTATCATTGACTGGAACGACTTTTCGTAATATTAGTTTCCTGCAAGATGCATTGACAATTAAAACAGTTAGTAAAATATAGGAAAAGGGGGCATGTAGAATCTTCAAATTTCACGAATATATATCTGCCAAGAAATATCGATAAAACATGTTCCGAAAATATGCATCTTCAAAATCCAAAACATGGATCAAATCAAGACAAATTGTCGAATGTTGTATTTCGACTTTATTTCAAAGCTTTCTTGAGAGAGCCTTGAAACAAAGTCGAAATGTAACCGTTAATATTCTTATTTTTCGTCTAAAGTTTCATGTTTTCTGCACATGTACTTTCTTTGGAGACACCATTTGCCTCCTGAAAATCGGAACTGAATGATCAAGATAGTGACTCTGATTGATTTACATATTGTATTGACATATGACTGTTGACATTGCTTTTTAGTCTTCAATATTTGAGTGAGTCATGCTTTGGAAATGACAATAAATTTTTATTACCCAACCCTTGAGAGTTGTTTTGTTTTTCATTTAAATACCCAACTTTTTACTCACTCAAAATTTTGTTTGCCCAACCCTTTTCTCTTCTGTGCCACCCCCAGCCATAAATAATGACCGCTCCCGAAGGGCTCTTCCCCATAGGGACCGGTCAGTAAAGATAAATACCGTATATCTTACTTTTTCTTCATCCTAATACATATTCCCAGCCCAACTACCATCATAAACACCACTGGAGGAAAAAACACAAGAACAAAACTGTCTTTCTTCCAAACCTTCCCACCATTCATTTCAGTCGTATTGCTTGATGACGTCAGCACTACCGATCTCGTTGCTGAAACTAGGCTTCTTGATGACGTCATCATCACTGATCTCGTTTCCGAAACTGGACTGCTTGTCTCAACTACAGCTATTCCAGTTTGAGTCAATATCGCTGACTTTACATTTTCCGTACTCAACGAAACTTTAGTCCTCTCTGAGATTAATATTTCTTTTATAAGTGAACCTGATGGACTGGCAGTACTACTTATGTGATAAAATGCGTCTGTTAATGTTTGAGTGAAGTTACTTGTTAAATCCTTCATGCTAGTTGAGAATTTTTGATGGGTTTTGTACACCGATACTGAATTTCGTATTTCCAGACTTTCTGTAACATGAGTTTCAGTTGTGCCATTCTCTATCGGCGATTTTGATTGGCTATTGATAGTCATTGAGCTTTGAGCTTTTATCGGGGTGTGGTGATCTGTATATGTTTGGGGAGTTTTCCTTGGATTTTCTGCCTTGAATGTTGCAGTGGACGAAATGAGCGACTTGAAATGAATGACGTTCTGTTGCGATACAGTTTGTGTCTTGAATGTGCTTGTTTTGTGGTCAAATTCGTTGAACGTTTGGGTTTTGTAATAATAGGTTGATGCTTTCTGTCTTTCTTCGGTTGTTGTCATTTTATTAGTTTGCGAGAACTGTTTTGACTTTTCTATGGCAGGTGACAGGAATGGTGTAGCTCCGTGTTTGCTGGTCACGTGAAAACCTCCAGAATAAACGGTGGTTGTGGGGTCTAGTTGATTAACATTCCATGAAGAGGACATGACAGATGATAAAATTTCGATGGTTGGGGATGTTTTTAATGTTGCTTTTGCAAAACTTGTTGGTTGTATTGCATCCAAAGTGGTCGATGGCGTTTGGGTGTTTGTGTTTTTAGTGTTGTAGCTCGGTTGGACTGTTGTTGGGCGTCCGGCCTCCGATGTAGGCAGAATTTCTTAAAAATGAGAACAAAGATATGCCTAGTTACCACTGTTCTGATAATGTAAGCATAGAATGGAACAAAGGTAACCAAGCATTTAAATTATATATGTGAGTGAATTGATAACTCACATGCCTAGTTACCACTGTTCTGATAATGTAAGCATAGAATGAAACAAAGGTAACCAAGCATTTAAATTATATATGTGAGTGAATTGATAACTCGATCACATGCCTAGTTACCACTGTTCTGATAATGTAAGCATAGAATGGAACAAAGGTAACCTAGTGTTTAAATTATAAATGTGCGTGAATTGATCACATGTCTAGTTACCACTGTTCTGATAATGTAAGTATAGAATGAAACAAAGGTAACCAAGCATTTAAATTATATATGTGAGTGAATTGATAACTCCACTGTTCTGATAATGTAAGCATAGAATGCTACAATTACCACTGTTCTGATAATGTAAGCATAGAATGGAACAAAGGTAACCAAGCATTTGAATTATATATGTGATTGAATTGGATGGCGAGAGACAGATAATCGAGAACCCCAAAAGCTGGAATCTGAGCCTAGTGTGCCCTTAGCTTATTCCTTACCAGTTAACAGTCTACGACAGTAAACCACGTCATCGTTCTTATTATCCACTGTCCAAATCCAATTAGCATTATCCGCGATCCCCGCAATTTTGCTCCATGGTTGCACACCATTGTACCCATACGTCCTCGCACGCGACCAAGCGCTGTCGTCATACGTCAACGTCATCCAGTTGCTATGGAAACGTTTTGTACACTTCCACGCCTCATCAGTAACCAAGCCGCCGCTCAGTGATCCCAAGATACCCCCTTTGTCTCCGTATTGTACAGCTTTCACTGCAATAAGAGTAGCGTTGGTTGAGATTTGAAAAGACCATCCAATTTTCCATTGAGTATTATCTGATCCATACCACACGCCGTCAATCCAGAGTTCCAGCTTATTATAGCACGTTATGAGTGCAGTCAGTGCTGTGGAGGTTAAGATCACGTGTCAATCACATGGGTAGACTACAATCAATATTTATAACTCGATATATCAGTAATATCACTGTTCTCCTTAGAGGTCCAGTAAGGATCATCTCTTATTGATCCACTACAGGAGGAACCCTAAACTAAACTAACTTTATTTATACTGGATAGCTGTATCAGTTCTAAACTGTTCTTCCTAGAGGTTCAGTAAGAATCATCTCTTATTGATCCAATGTCACTACAGGAGGAAACCTAAACAGTAACTAACTTTATTTATACTGGTTTATACTGGATAGCTCTATCAGTTCTAAACTGTTAATCTTCCCAGAGGTCCAGTAAGAATCATCTCTTATCGATCCAGTGTTACTACAGGAGGAAACCTAAACTAAACTAACTTTATTTGTAGTGGATAGCTCAGTTCTAAACTGTTCTTCCTAGATGTCCAGTAAGAGTCATCTCTTATTGATCCAGTGTTACTACAGGAGGAAACCTAAACTAAACTAACTTTATTTATACTGGATAGCTCTATCAGTTCTATACTGTTCTCCCTAGAGGTCCAGTAAGGATAATCTCTTATTGATCCACTACAGGAGGAAACCTAAACTAAACTAACTTTATTTATACTGGATAGCTCTATCAGTTCTAAACTGTTAATCTTCCTAGAGGTCCAGTAAGAGTCATCCCTTGACACTCCAGTGGTAGAGTCAAACTGGAAAATTGTGTTAAAGTTCCATATTCACCTTGCGTACAATTACGACCACGCCATCCAGGCAGGCAGACTTTGTCTCCAGTGACGTCACATTTGAAATGACCCAATAACCGATCGTTTTGCGGCGAACAATATTTCGTGCAATTAGCTCTGTACCAGTCCCTTATACAGACTTTCTCCCCGCTCGTCTTGTTACACGAATAATGGCCGTCGCTGCTATCCTGTGCTTTACAGAACACTAAACAATCCCCACCGTACCAATTAGGTAGACAAACTTTATTTCCTGTTAAACTATCGCATTTGTAATGCCCAGTTGGCCCATCCGTATTTTTACAAAACGTCGTACAGTTTCCGCCAAACCAATTACCCGCACAAAGTTTCGCGCCAAATTTGTCGCACGTGTAGTTACCCAAGCCGTCGTTTCTGGGCCTGCAGTACTGTGTGCAGCGGTCTCCATACCAGTGTTGGTTACATATTATCAAACCTCTGACGTAATCGCATGTATAATGCCCTGACGCGTCGTCACTTGGTGTGCATTCCCGCGCGCAGTCTGGGAGCAAGTAGTTGTCGTCGCAGTGAATTTTAATTTCGAGATCTATGTAGCGTTTTTTTGGAGAATGATTTGACGCCATACGCTTTGGTTTGTTGCTCGCAGATGTAGAGTTCTGGTCGGGAGCGTCCGCGATGTCTAAATGAACGCTGTCGACGAAATCACTCGAGCCTTTTATAAAGCCACTGTCGTAATCCCACATTTCAATTGTTAGGCCAAAACCCTAGAAACGAATTTAAATTAAATAAGTTTCCAATGGGATCAACTCTTTACCAGTATTCTCACTGTTTTACATTAATTTGGAACTGACATCTTACAAAATATCTTAACTGATAGCTGACAAATGATGGAACAGTAATTTGGAACTGATATCTTACAAAATATCTTGACAGATAGCTGACAAATTATGACTGACAGTAATTTGGAACTGACATCTTAAAAAATATCTTAACTGATAGCTGATAAAATCCCTCAACATCTTAACACCATACCTGCCATTTCTGGAAACTGTATTCCAATGGATTTTCCCTCCCATTCCCAAGATCCCCGCCAATTCCTGGAAAAGTGAAGCTTCCTTTACCCAAGACTTTGGTTTGAAAGTTGCCCGCATTACACTTTGCTTGCGGTACCTCTGTGACACAGATCTTTAAGTAAATATCACAGGCCTCCAGACATGTCCAAAGGTTATCACAGCAATCACCATTGTTAACCTCGCTGTTGCCTCTGAATCGCAAAAAGCGAATACCAAGTTTGCCAGATGAATTGCACGGCTAAACCGAACAGAAAAAAATTGTGGTTAAAATGACCATAGTCTGTCAAGATTTGATGGTCTGCGGGAAGCCCAACAAACTTCAAAGCCACAAAATAGAAGAGCTTTGTTTTATGTTGAACTGTACTTCACCATGCACAAATCCTTTGTCTCAACTTCATTAAATATTATTCATCGTGGTTGCACGTTTCATCTCAGCTATCCCTATTGGACAGTTTATTTATTTATTTACTTTGCCATCATACTTATACATTCATTGGCTGGGAAACCACAACAGCTATTGCCAATTACAGCGGCCCCAATAGTTATACAGAAACAATTTACAAGGTATACTAAACACACACAACAGACAATACTTGAACAACAGTCATTACATTTGTCTAAAAGCAGCATGTCAATGGAGAGTTCATTAAACTTCGAGCGGAATTACATACACACACTTTTCCATGTCCGGGGATCCTCAACATCGTATGTATTTTCTAATGCTAAAATATAGTACTTAAAAAGAAGATTCTTGAATTCTGAAAATGTTAGGTCTTTGGATGTAATATAATTGGGTAGTGTGTTCCATATTCTTGATGTTCGGATTTTGTAAGATTTTTTATAGGTTGACGTCTTGTATGTCGGAATTTTATATTTGTGCGAGTTGGGATTAAATGATCTTGTCTGTCGTTGACCCTGAGGTTGAGGAAATGGAAGAATTTTTTTATCAAAATTAAAAATGTCGTGATTTGCCTTATAGAAGAATACTAGATCCAGGTATTCGTGCCAGTAGCTGAGAGGGAGCAAACTGGTTGCAAGGAGTCGGTCTTTATATTCTGTATCACAAATAAAGGGAACATTTAAAATATATTTAGTTGCACGCCTCTGAACTCGTTCTACTCTTTTCACCAACTCAACTGTTTGGGGCGCCCATACTTGGGCATACTTCATTATATGAAAATATTAATTTAATATTAATTAAATATTAATTTAGTTACTTCATTATATGAAAATACAATGAGCTCAATCACGTGACCGTGCACAAATTAACATAAACTCCGACAAAAACATTAAACTATTCTTCCTAGTGAGTAAGGACCATCTCAGTTTTGAAAACTAGAATACTTGCCGAAACCTGTGATGTCTACTAGGAGAATCAAACTATAGAAGCTCTTTTCGCATACGTCTGGGGCGAATCTATAATCAGGGACGAAACTTAAGGGGGGTGTGGGGGGGGGGGGTGACACCCCCCTAGGCTGGATTGGCAGGGCAAATCATCGGGATTGGCAGGGCAATGAAAGATTTTAAATTTCAGATATTGTTCAAAAAATAATGGTTTCACGCATGTGTTAACAGGAATTTGTCCGAAAAAAAATTTTTGACCTTTAATTATACTGGTGTATGTCCGAAAATTTTTTTTTACCTTTAATTTAACTGTTTTGTGTCCGGAAAAAATTTTTTGGCCTCTTTTTTGAATGTTCGGGAAAAAATTTTGACCCCTAAAATGGTACACTGACCAACATTTTTTTGGCGAAAAAATTTTTGGTCGACGAAAAAATTTTTTCTGCAGGGCATCAACGGCTTTCGCAGGGCAATTCTAGCAGACACCCCCCTATTAAAAGGGGCTAGTTTCGTCCCTGTCTATAATCATTATGAAGGTACATTTGAACCTAGAGGATACGCAAGTAATTTTCTCCGCAGTCGCAGATCACTTACGGCATATACGATTTTGTCTCTGTGGCAGGGCCGTAACTACTGGGGGAGGGGGGGGGGAGTGCGACGACACTTCCAATGTTGTAATATTGCAGTTTTGTCGGGCAATTTTAACGACACGCTCATCGGGCAAAAAATATGTAATTCAGCATAATTTTCTGAAAAGTAATAATTGTAGCAAAAATCGTGATAAATTTGCGAAAATATTACTTGATAAATTGTACAAATTAGTGAAAAAAGTATGTCCGAAAATTTTTCTCTCCCCCCGCTCGCCAACATTTTTGGGACAATAAATATTAATTAGCGACTAAAATGTCCGTCGGCCACGACTTCGGCCACGCCCTTTTGGTCGGGCGAAA